GGTATTTTCTTAGGAAATTTTTAATATTAAAAGATACATGAACCAAATTTTTTTGTGGATTTAAATAATACAAAACACAATTACAAATTTGTCACATAAATTTTAAACAGCATAAAAACTAATTTAAATGCTCATGAATTTAAATAATGTCATGGATTCAAAAAATTGAAAAACTTCAAAAATTCATAAAAGTACACAATATTCGGAATCATTTTTAAAATATTTATTTAGAAAATTATACATAATGTAAAAATGAAAACAAAGAAAATGAGAAAACAAAAAAGAAAAAGAACAAACATTAGCCGATATGCGAAATCAAACACGCACCCAAACCCTAACCAAACAAATCCAAACTAGGGGGGGAAAGGTGATGGGGAGCCGCGGCGTACAAGCGCCGTCGTCGATCGGTGCCTGCGGAGTAAAAACGTATTACTAGAATGACCTGGGGCGAGGACAATCCGATCGAAGGAAGAAAAGAGAAGAGGCCGGGATGGAGAGCGGTAGCGCGCGGGCCGTCCCGCCGTCGAAGTCCTCCGAGAGGAGAGTAACCTTCGGCGACGAAGATTCAACCGAAGAGAAGAGAAGAAAGATCGAGAGCGGCAGCGCGCGAGCCGTCGCGTCGGCGGGGGCTCCGCGGAGCAGAGTGCCCTCGGGTGAGGACGGGCGCCCGCTCGACAGCGTGATGCGCGCCAGCCTCATTCGCCACTTGAAGCATGGCGACGGCTCTATCTTCAGAAGCAACGGTTATTGGACCAAAGTTTATCGTCTCCAAGATACCAGCGAGAGTACGTACGTAATTTTTTTCATCTTATGATTGCTGAATGGCTCCAATGTAGGAGGTTGGCTCCCGGTTTCCTTAAACTTTCTGTATGTACTAGGAGACCACTAAGGTTTCACTTCATGATTTAGTTTACACCTTACAACCAGCAACAACTCAAATATTTGTTTCAGTAAAAACCAAAGACACACCCTCTGCATTTTGCAAGATTTTGGCAAAATCCTAAAAGCACCTCTTTTATCCTGTGGCCAAAATCATAAGATGTGTATAAAAAGTTAAATGTTTATATATATGTTTGATCAGGTTTGTAGAAAATTATATCCACAGCTATGATATACAGTATCAAATAACTGAATGTGAAAATATATGGTAAATCTAGTGATACTATTTTAGTGTTACAGTTCTTGATATTTTACTCTCTATAAACTTGGTCACTTGGTCAATCACAGATAAGTTTGACTTCTCTGAAAATTAACGAACGGATGGTATTTAAAGTAGAGGTGCTATATGATCTAAAAAGATGGCTAAGAGCATCTACAAGCACTGTTTCTGTTGATTAGAAAACCCACAGCCACCTATCGATCGAAGTAGGGATGCTATATGATTTCAAGAAATGGCGCTACTGAGCATTTGTAATCACTTGTTCTGTTTATTATAGACCATTTAAACGCATGGATCCTCATGATTGCATTGTATTTCTTTTTTTATTTAGCTTGCCTATTATTAAATCAAGATTGTCTTTTTGGATGAGTAGGAGGATCTAACCCCATTTTAATCAATCTCGACCCACTGTTTTCAAATTTTGTATTGCTTGTCCTAAAGAGGCCACGTGATTCACAGTTTCTAGATTAAAAAGACTGTGCAGCTTTATTTAAGAAAGCTCTTGCATTTATATATTCTGCACAAATGTTTGAACTTTCTCATTCTCATGAAAGACAAATAATGCTCCAAATATTTAGTTTCCTCTGATTTTCTCTAGTCATCAATTTATTTTGTGACCGGACCACAGAAATATATATGCACAGTTAGTGCAAACTGTGATTGATATGTTTTTAACCTAAACTTCAGGATATCGATAATATTGCGTTGATAATTTGTAAGCTTAATATTATCATAATTCTGTTTTGATTCCACTTTCTAGCCTTGCTTGCATCAATCTATGTATCCTGCCACTCGTTCTCTTCATCTCCTTTTAATTGAAATTTTGGGGTTAACAATTTTTATAATCTACTGCATGTACAATTCCCATTGCTTCTCAATCAGCTTGTCTGGAGCCAATGATGATGACCGAGCCATTAGCCTCCTGCATGCCTGACAGGATGGTTTGTGAAAGGCAACATTTTCGCACCATGCTGCAGATATTCTCCCTGAAGCTAGCTTACACTTCTTCACATGTTACTGGCCCGGTCCAGTTGTACGGATACGTGGCTGTCAGGGATCTTTTGAACCCTATGCGTAACTACATCTTCAACCGCACAAGGGATGATCCTTTCGTCGTGGAGCATGACGGCCTTATCCGAATGTCCGGCCCTAAGAGGGGCATCAGAATGGGGGCTCCCGTGCTGATTGAGTTCGACATGAAGGTCAAGAGAGGAGTCGGAGAAGCAGAAGATGATTTACAGCTCGTCGATTGCGTTGCCTGCCTCAACGACATAACCTCGAGACATGCTACGAAGAACAGAAGACGGATCGATGGCGATTGCGGGGCGGTGGACATAGCCTATGCGCTTCTGAGGGGCGCCGCGGAGGCCACCGTGCAGGTTGGGATATCAGAGCTGGCACAGGACAGTGGCTTGATAAGGCTGAACGCAGCATTGTTTTACACCAAGGAGTTGAGCGCGCAGATCCAGCTGTTTGACGGAGTTGTCGCCGCCGAGGCGACTGAGCTTTGCAGGACTGTGCTTGCCGTGGCGAAGGGAGGTCAGTTGCTTGTATCGTTGATGCTCGATCAGACTGGTGGCTCGGGTGATTGCGCTTTCAGTCGTAGCTGCACCTTCCCTGTTCAAAAGCATGGAAACCATGTCTCCGTTTTCAAGCTTGGGCTGGCCGCTGTCGAGGTGAAGGTAACCTGGTCGACTCTGGACATCGCCGGAAGCCTTTTGGGTCCAAATTGCTTCCAGTGGGAGTTCATGGCAGCTGAGGACGTTGAGTATGAAGGTGACTGAATAGCACTTCCTCTTGATGGGGTGTCCTCACTCCTAACTACTTAAGTATTATAGTATGTTTGTTATCTGGATGTCTATGTCATTTCTGAATGCCTATGTGTATGTGAAATAGCCGCGCTTTGTGGTTTGCTGGTACCTCTGCTCAAGTTTGTTTGTGTTTGATTTTCTAATGCTCAAGTATTGTCATTATACTGGGGACATGTTCAGACTTGGTAGTAGCAAATATAATTCCCCTGTAAGTGCATCTATAAGACACATGACATCTGGATTATTATTTTTGTATGCGTTTCGACACTCTGTCCTGATGCAATTCTTGCCTTAATGTTGGCTTGCCACTAGCTGGGGCAGCCTGATTTACCGTTGTGTGAGTTCTTGTGGGCATCACTGGACACTTTGACAGCCCTTCTCTTGCTGGTGCCTGGTGGGCAGAAACAACAAAAATCTGAGTAAATTGTACCGAACGACAACAATTGTGTCACTATTTTACAGAACCATGACTTGTGTGGATGCCAATTTGCACAAAACAGCAACTTTTGTGCTGAAGTCAAGTCACTAACTGCACGGTTAATAGCGGAACTGACGAGGCTGAACCACATATCAGTGCCAATCCATCTAGAACCTGGCATGTGGGCCAGCTTTGTCAAATTAGCTGCCTGGTTAATGAATTTGCCACAAAAGTTGTAATAATTTTATTGAAGCTGACAGTACAAAATTTGTGGTAATGTGAAACTGGTGACTCAATTCTTACGTTTATGTGCAATTCACTCTTTCTTGGGAACACCCGCGCCCGTTTCAAATCGGCGCAAGGAAAACGTTCTTGCTTTTCGGCATGAGTGGACGACATGGCACAAGTTGGTGACTGAGTCGGCAGTCACCATTTCAGCCACTCGTAGCTGCACGCCTCTGTTCCATGTACTCAGCCGTGCCCTCGATTGCGTTTGCATGAGCACCTTCTATACTTCGTTCGATTTGGCACAAATTCTTGCCTTCTTGCTTCATTACTGAGAAATGAGTCCCTGACCCGGGTTGCACTGCGGCATGTTCCCCTTCATCTTCTGGAGTGACCTGTGGCATCCATATCAAACATAATGGAGCATAAGTGGCTTCCTTTGAGAATAAAGATTAATTATTGGTATATCAGTAAGCAAGAGACGCGGCTAACGGATAGCAGCAGAGGACACAATTGCACATGAGACAGGCGTTCCAGACATTTAACGTTCTGCAAATAGGCTATCAAGAAGACGATATCAAGTCAAACACAATGATTGGCATTCGCTTAATACTTCAGCTCGAACTTTTGCAAGACTAAAATTGAGCAAATAGATGTTTCTTCGAAACAATGCGACAAACCAAAGGAATACTGCTGCCAATCTGGTGCTTCAGTTTTCTCCATCTCAGCTTATTTTTTAGTGAAAATCGGCATGAGAACTGACATTTTAGTGCTAAAAAATAGGAAGAGAGGGTAAAGCCCTCCCTCCTGAGGATCGAGTTTACAAAGACACAAACAAAGACGAATGCAGAAAAGGAACAGAAAAACTGCAAAATCTCCATCCTTTGGTAATTAAAAGCTAATATACCAACAACCCAGTTTCAAAAAAAGAAGGCCAAGGAATTTAACAGTCTACAAAAACATATATACCAACAACCTACATAAATCATTCTATTAGCTTTATGTTTCAAGCAGATCTGTCAAATTTCAAAAGAAAACAGAGGAATATAAAAAAATATTAGTACACCCACATAGATTTGTAAATTTGTAGACTGAAAGAAGTCATATGTCTAATTATAAAGTTTGCGTACAAAAATCTCCAAAGTAGTGAAGGTGTATCCGTAAAGGTAGCAATAGTGTGAGTTTACTGACAGGCATATAGGATATTTTCATTGACATGTGTACCTCTACCTTTATTAATGAAAAAATAAATAAGATGGTGATACATTAGCTTAGAAGCTGTTACGGTACAAAAGTACAAGCGCAGGAGCTTACGCAACATTATAGAGTATCAGGACCATTAATACAATCTGTAAGACTTGACCAGGAAGGCCCATTCCATGACTCTTCAAACTGCATGGATTGGGCTGTTGTTTCCCTGACTAAGGTCAGTTCTAGTCATTGGTGGGCTCACATGAAAAGCTGATTGTCTTGTATTTGTCGGCCCGGTAAGCTGAAGGGAAAGAGCGGAAGGCTCCATTGAGCCAGAGGTACCCCCACCAATGCTGAGCTTGGACATACTGACAACCTCATCCGCCTTAATTGCCTCCTTTAAATTCACAGGAGTGGGCTTTAGGACTTCATGGCTTGCATTTGCTGCTTCCACATTAGAAACGTTCGCAGGCCAAAGTGTTAGTGGAACAGGGAGCAATGAAGGGTAGAACGCTGGAACTGTCGAGACAGATGCGGCCTTGAACGATACACCATTGTTCATCTCCAAATCTGGTGCTTCCAATGAAGGCCCTCCGTATTCAGATTCCTCGTGCTGCCTTAGTTGCAAAGTTGGCAGATCTTTATCACACTCTGCTTCCTTCTGTCGCCCAAGATGAAACAGCGACAGTTTATTTGAACTACTTGTTTCATCTTGAGTGCTGCAGAGCGTAAACTCTTCCGCGCCATCGGGGGACTCATCCATTGGCTTCAGGTTGAAGAGGAAAGCACAAGTATCAGCAGGTAGTTTAACATATGTGGAGAAGGCAGACAATCTCTGTTATTATGTACAACAAAAAGTTGCATACCATTTCCGGGACCATGTCAAACAAGCTTGACCTCCTCTTCCGTCTTGAGAAGTTTGTCTGTCTAATGAAGTACTTCTGGGCGTGGCTGGCCACCTGAGTTGGGGTCCTTGAGACAACAAAACTACGAGATATCCCACGCCAGTCTCCTTTGCCAAGCTTCTGCAGACCCAGTAGAAACAACCTATGCTCTTCTTCAGTCCAAGGTGTACCTGAAGCACAAATAGGTCTATGATTGGAAGCTGCACTCACAATAATAACATAGCGAAGCAGACTTGCCCATGTACATTTCAAAAAGGAAAAATCATCATTGCTATCTGAACCTGATGTAAACCACGAGCTTTTGGCTTTGTTACCTTAAAAAAAAGGTCAGTTCAGAAAACCATTGTGTCTGGCCTCAGCTTTCTACGCAGTCGGTCACAAAGTTCATGCACATTCCACACCACCACAAGGTCCAAAATGTGAAACAGACCGAAAGAACCATTCTAGCTTTTCTGAATGACTAAAGCAGAAAAGAAATTGTTGCCTACTTAATCTGTACTCCCTCCGTAAACAAATATAAGAGCATTTACATCACTACTTTAGTGATCTAAACGGTCTTATATTTCTTTACAGAGGGAGTATCTCAGTCCCCCTAAGTCTCCCTGATTCAATATGAGTGATTCCAGTGGAAAGTTCTACAGTATATCAACTAAGATGTTGCCCCATGTAAAACAAGGGCACTCCATCATAAGTATTTTCCTAATGTTTGTAGCGGCATATTTCAATTAATTTTAGAACCATTAGCACAGAAGACTTAAGACCAAAATACAATATCACAAAAGGAAAAGGAAAGCTGACATCTAACACTCTAACAGATCTACCTTAGTCTATAAGCAACTAAAAGGGCACTTGGCTCCTACAGTCCCTTTGAAGCCAAGTGCCAACAATAAAGTACCCCAGGGCGGGAGTACAATCATGCAATAAAATAGCATATCACTGCAAACATCTAGGACTGGTCAAACCAGCTGGAAATTAATATGGCTAGATTCTTTTAGGATCAGGTGATTAAATAAAGGTCAAAGAGACATCAGGGCGGGACTTGTGGGGCTCTTTATTCGTGGCCAGTCACAGTCGCTCCGCAATGTGATCCACACAGGCCCGGTGTGTGATGCACATGTGCATCTAACTTAATCAGGTGAGAAAAGATATGGAGTACGTTTGTGTTGATTTGTGTCGGCTATTCTGGACGGTTCATAAATATCGCATGGTAACAATGGTATCAGCAGGCAAACAAACAAATTCTAAGCATGTGTTCAAATTATTGACACCCACTCAAAATAATTGCTTATAGGAAGCACGAAAAATAGAAAAGTTTTGGAACGCTTGTTGGTTTCTTCAATGGGACTGGGACTCGGCACGCTTTGATATTTAAAGGAGGTTTGCTTATCATTGGGATGGCATCTTGGTTGCATATGAATCTCCGGAGAAGCGAAAGTATACGAGGAACTAAAAAGAAGGGATGAACCCACAAAATTCTGTTTTCTCTCGTAGTACACGAGATGCTGTGCCTGAAGCAATATTGTACTACAGAATTTGAAGAAAGCTAACTCAATAATTAGAGATTAAAGACACTGAATGATGGGGGGAGACGACAAGAAAATCGTCTCTTTCCTCTCCTAGCTGCGGGTTTTATTTTTATTTTATTCATTCATACCGCTAAGGCTAAGCGCTGCATGAGGCGCCGCGGTAGGTAGATGCACCTGAAGGCGATGAGTTAACCAGAAGCAAACAGATGCGGAGACGGTACGGGGCGCTAATGGCGGAAACAAAGACGCCATTTTCCTCGGTCGCTCACGGAGGTAATTCGCCGGGGAGAAGAGAGGGAATGTTCTACCGCCCAGCCAATCATTTCACTCATCGAACGGGAGGATGATAGGCAAGATACGAGCAAAGAAGGCATTGAGGGAAGATCTTATTCTTAGTGGTACCTTTCTTGCGCTCGGCCCGGCCATTGGTCGAGCAGGAGGCGTGCATGGGGTCGTCGGAGACGTACCCGGGCGCGCCCTCGCCGCCTCCCCTGGCGGCGCCGCCCCCCGGCCCCACGGCCGGCGACGAGCCCCCGGACCCGCCGCCGCCGAGCGACGACGCGATGCAGCTCATGCTCGCGCTCTTCTTCATCGCGGCCAACGGCGGCGACGTGAGGTGCACGCCGAACAGCCTCACGCCGCCTCCGCCGCCGCCAGCGCCGGAGCGGGCGGGGCAGGTCCGCGCGTTGTGGCCGTTGTTGCTGCAGTGCGAGCACCGCCTCGTCATCCCCACCGCCGGCGAGGCGTCACGGCCCCGGCACCGCGCGTGTTCGTGCGTGCGTGCGTGCGTGCGTACGAGGAGCGCTGGGAGCCAAAGGAAGCGTAGCGCCAGATGTGTCGCCGTGCGCGTTCAGTTCGTTCCCTCCTTCCCTCTCTCTCTCTATCTCTCTCTCTCTCCGGAGGGAGGGGAGGGGTGGTGATATTTTTGGGTATTTATTGAGAGGAGGGGTTGAGAGAGCCTTGCGACGAAATGACAAGAACGGCCATGACCTCCTTCTATTAACGGATGGATGGCGGTAAACTCCACTTGTGCATAACCACTCCGCCCTGCGGCTGTATCCGAGGAGCTTGCGTGTGCTTTTTTCCTCTTTATCATACTAACTGATAAAACGCAATCAGTGTTTATTTTAAGCTTACGCAGACTCCATTCGGTGCAACTCTGGCTGAGACGTCATATCGGCCCGATCAACATAATGACCAGTGGTTTAGCAATTTTGATAAAAAATGGTACAGAAGAGTCGCCACCCCGCCCTCCCAATCACCATAATTTCGAAACGCGCTCCAAATACAGCCGGCAAGCCCCTATATTTGAAGGTTGTGAGGCGTTGATTTGGAGCAGGGCTTTATTGTCAACCGCTCGTGCAGAAGGGAATTCGTCCCTTTTCATCCTCCTACATGGCCAACCTTCCGTCATTGCTAATGGCGCGGATGGCTAGACGTCAATTTGACCTGGAAGTGAGCTAATGAATGACGGCCGCCGCATCCCAACTGCCCACGCAATTGTCGCCATGTTTTCAACCACTTTTCCCTGCCGCCTGCAGGCTGCAGCTATAAAAAGGTCGTCGCCATGAATGATCTAGCTCGTAGCCTCGTCGCCCACGGCTTCCTCTACGGCCGGACAGGTAGATCACATAGGAGGAGAAGTGGATCCTAGTCGAGAAGGAACCGCATGAGGCGGCCGCCCCTCCTCGCCGAGAAAGAGGAGTGTCACGCGCGCTGGAAGCCGCGCATGAGGATCCCACGCTCCTCAATGAGTGGGCGAATTGGGATGTCAAAACACATGTCATTGTTGGAAGCCACACGTGACGATTCTCACTTTGCGCATCTCGTCGATAGCCTCCATATTACTATATGGAGCGTGCTTCGTAGCATTATGAAGGCTGCTAATATGGTGACTCTATTAAAGTTGCTCTCAGGTTGCATATGTCATTTGGTATCAAGGTGGAATGGTGGATTACAATAACCTGGTTTCAAAAAGCTTCTGTATATTTTTTTATTTCAAAAAAAAAGCTTTTGTATATTTTTTTAAGAGAAGAGAGATGAAAACACATGTTGCATTGTGCTTATCAAGTAAAGTAAAAAAACAGACGAGGTTTGATGAGATGTTTAGAATCCACTTTGAAGGAACGGAATGGTTCATGTACGAAATTTAAAAGCCAATCCTATATGGGAAGTGCTAGTCGTTGGTAATGCATAGATCGTCCGATCAGCCCCCTTACGCACCATATGATAGCGATGATGGTAGCCACGAGACCAGCTCCATGCATTGTCCTCTTCTACTCACACGCCTTGAGAACCTCTGCTCCAT